AGGATACGTGTGCTAGTGACGGGGTGGCCACAGTAACTACCACCAGTGAGTAACAAACAATGCCCTTAACACTTACATACTTTGTAAAACAAACAGTGATAGCTATCAGTTAAGATAAAATTGCTGTCATGTATTCTGACAGTGCAGTTAAATAGAAGAAAAAAAAAAAAAGCAATTAACTCCTGCTCCGAAAGCTGAATGGGAATAGAAGCTATAAAGATACCTCCTCCAGCTACAAGCTAGGCCTTAAAAGCAATTTACTGCTTTAGTTAAATACGTCACAGCTGCAGGATAAAGCAAGCGCAGCACAAACCACTAATTTAACTGCTTATCTTCCTGCGCCCCTGGGTCTCAGTCTGCATTGAGCCCCTCGAGCATTCACCTTCTCAGTCCGCAGCCCAGCAGGCAGAGGACAAACCTCTGCTCGTCAGTCAGACTCGTTACACCCCACACAGCTGGATTCTAACAAAGGGGGTGTGGGGGCAGAGGAGCACACTATGTTTTCTCCGCGACTGTTGCGCTGCCAGGTTTTACTCGCAGTATTTTGCTCTCTGGGTTCAGTTGTCATTAGAAGACCCAAGGAGCCCGCGCAGCGCTGGAACAGCTGATCTGACCTGTTCGTTCATAACTGCAGAGAGCTCGCTGAGCATGTCCTTGTAATGGGACTTCATCTCGCCCTGATACTCAAACTGGTCCTCCTTAATAAGGCGTTCGTTGACGTCAAGAGCGTGTCCACACGCTTCTGCGAATTGCCTGCAAGCACAGAGCCACAAAGGATTCAGATTTTGTAGGAATGAAAACAAAAATAATTTACATATAGATATAGGTATGTATACACAGACACACGCTGCTGCACCTCTTCTTCACGTCCCACCTGGTCACGCTACTCGCTATGAGAGGTTGGAACATCTGTTTACCTGAAGATTTCCTTCAGAAGCTTAACTTGGTTATCAGGGTATCTCTTAGCATTTGTCTCTTCAAGAAAAGCTCGAGCATAGGCCATGGGTCCAGCATTTACCTGGGGGAAAAGCCACACAGCTTAGATGCAGAGAACAAGCAGTTTATTGTCACCCTCCCCTGTGCTCCGCGGCTCGGGGACCGGCCTCAAGCCTGCGTGAGGAACATCACCTCACTCCTCCCATCACCCAGATGAAACCTGAAGGAGCTTTGCTGAAGGAAAGCGCAAACCACAGATCGTGTGGATGCTTTAAAAAAGAAACCCAGCCAACGGCGAGCTGTCCTTACCTTGACACTGACGCTTCCCTGGAGTTTGAGCTGCAGCCGGATCATGTCCACTTCTTCCATGGTGCAAAGCTGATTGAGCTCGGAGACTTTTTTGGACATCTCATCAATCGCTACTTCGATGGGGTTCAGCTCCGTGCTGGTTTGGCTGATGACCTGGATGCGCTTCTTCACGTAGGGAAACAAGTGACTGGCTGCTCGAAAGCGAGAGGGAGTGTCAGAGAAACTCACCCAACAGGAGAGCGTTTAAGACAGCAAAACAATTCAAAGTATTAACTTTGGCCTTTGTCAATCCACACAAATTAAGTGTTAATCACCAGATGAGAGGGAGCGACACAGTAGGTCCAAACTGAATTTTGATGGACCTCGCACTGGAAGAGAATTTCTTTCTGTGCTCACCACCGCGTGCTGCTGTGTTCTGTCACATCGACGGGGCAAAAAGCCTGCGCTGCTCGGATTTTAGAACCCACAGACTTCTTCTGCGTGAAAGCACCAGAGGGGAAAGCCCTTAGAGAACTTCAAGCAGCTCAAAACATCCCAACAAACACATTTTGAGTTAGAGGCAGGAGCCTCTCGTTTAGCTAAGTTGGGTATCGCTCCCTCACAAGCTCCTATTAAAACACTGTCCTTGAAGGAGTAAGTGATTACTTTTAGTATTCAACCTAAATACTGTTACGGGAGCCGACAGAGGAATTGATAAAACTTCACAGATCTCAGAGTTTTACTCTTCTTAGCAGGGTGGGCACCCCACTTAGCTTTTACTTTGACCCGTTGATTATTAAAAGAACGTCGGCTCTGAGCACTGAGCTGCCTCGAGCAGAACCAAGCCCGAAATTAGGTCGCTGCGAGAACAGCTCAGCCGTCAGCAACGAGCGAGGAGCCAACGGCCCCGTCAGCAACACAAACGCACTCGTGAGGATCGTGCGCCTCTTGCACTGCTCCTCCACGCCGCCGTGCTTCTTCCCCGAGAGCGTGAAAGGCGTCTCGAACACGAAGCGGTTGATGTTGTGATGCATCTCGAAGTCGGTCTTCCGGTCGTCGGCTTCCTTCTCTTCGAAGAAGGGCGTGACGTACGTCACCTGGATGTAGGCGTACTTTGGGTCCAGGTCTTTGGGGTTGACCTGCGTGACGGGGGCAAACGTAACAAAACGCTTGAGTGCAAGGAGTTTTCAAGGCATCCATTGTTTCCGATACTTTTATCTAGCATGGCAACACCAATTAACCCGAGGACTTCCAAACGTGATGTTCAGAGCACAGATTAACACGAGGATGTTTAACCAGGAGGCCCTGAGAGCAGCTGTTAAGTCCAGCCACCGGCTACAGTGGATGAAAGCTAAACGAGAGAGAAAACATCCCGGTTCTGCATCGCGATAAACATCCGTGTGCTCTCTGCGGGTGTGTGCCGGGATACGTTGAGTTTGAAGAGGAGGCTGAGGGGAGAC